GGAGGAAAAGACGGCCACCAGCCTCCATCAGGATTACAGCCCAGGACGTCGATCGGAAAGCTCCTCTAGACCTTAGTGAGTTTTAATGTTAAGCAAGATCTTCTTTATCAATTAGTTTATTAACCAGATTCTTTGTGTACCAAATCATGATACACAATCTCAGAATTTCTACCGTGTTGCTTATCCAAAATTTTGTGACATGTAGACCAGTCCATGTACCCATGTTTCTAGTTTTCCTTAACTCACAACTATTTAGAATTTGTATTTTAGTTATGTTGACTGTTTTACTTTGGGGTGGTTATTTCTATGTATGTACTTATTTTTTAATCTTTTTAATTAAGAATGTATTTGTTCTCTTTTCCTATTTATTGATTCTAACCCAAAAAAAAGATAATTTCAGGAGTAGTTTAGAACGCAAGATTCAGCATCATCACAGCTTTTAATTATGTTTTGAAGTCTTTCCAAATGGTAGCATTCGTCTAAGAATAAACCAAGCATTACAATAAAGATGTATAAAATAGCCTCCTAATATTGGTTCATTTTTCAGGTTGTTAAGAAAATCATTAATGTAGCAGCAGTTTCTTTTTCAGTTTAATATAATTACTGGGATAATATAGCATTATATAAAATAACAGAATTCAAAGAGACTGGGCATTTAAATTCAACTATAGATGTACGCATTCAAAAGAAGATAAACGCATGACCGAGTAAGGTATATAAAATGTTCTTCAATAGATATAATTTGAAAATTTGTGAAAAGAATGGGAAAAGCTCCAAGGAATAATGAACATTCTCATTTGAGAGCACTTTCCTGCCCCACGAGCAAAGGAAAAATTCAAAGGTAAAATTGTGTTGTTTAATTGTTTTCCCTTTGGCTATATTCACTAATTTTGTTGGAAGGCTTCTTATACGTCTTGTTTTAAGGTCTTGATATTTAGGTTAATTGTCAGTCACTTTTATTATTGAACAACTTAAGTCTGTATAAGATTTTTATACCTTGCTTAAGGGGAATCAGTTACTAACCATAGAACTCTAATGATTTTTAAAATGTTCTCAAGTTTGACATTTGAAAACATAAGCTAACACATAAGATGAAAATGCTGTGTGAGTGTGGATAGGTTTCTTTACTGGGTAAAGACAAAATACAAGTTATACTTCAATATATTCCCAGTTGATTTGTTTTTGTTTAATTAAATCAAAAAACAGTTGATCAGTAGTTCCTTAATCAATAATTTACTAATAAAAATAACTTACTTAGATGCCTGTTCAAAGTAATACAAGTTATTTTAAAAGGAATGCAATTGTAAGATAAAGAAGCATAAGCTCAAATTAGTCTTATCAATTACATTCTCAGTAACATAAAAATTAAAACAAAACCATAAAATTGCTAACAATTTAAGTATACAAACCACTAACTTTACAAAATAAAGCAAAGAGATCTACATTTGTGTTAAGATACCTACAAAGATGGCCTATGCTGAAATTTAAAATAACTGTGTTTATTATTTTTAAAGAGTTAAAGGATATATTTTAACTGTGATGAGTTTTCATTTTTACCTAGTATGTATCACATAGGAAAAAATCCTCACTTGTGTTCTAACAATAAGAACAAAAACTTTATACAATATATAATCATAGCTTTTATATTCCATAATGGATCTGAGGTTGAATTTTCAGGTGAGAGAGACAGAATGCATGAGAGAGAAATAAACTACACTGTAAGCAGGAAGGAAGAAATTAACTAAAATGTATTGTGTGCTAGGCTGAGTTCTTTAGAAAAATAAAACCAGTGATGCTGGTATGTGTAGTATATAGGAAGAGATTTATATCCAGAAACAATTTAAACAATTGTAGAAATAAGTAAGTCCAATCTGTTTCAAGTCAGCGTAGCCGCTGATGGATCCTAAGATCAGCAGGTGATGCACGAGGAGGTGAAGGAATCAGACCAGGATGATAAAGCAGAGATAGCAGGGTGCTCAGACTGGTGTATGAAGAGGTTCAAAGTCAGCCTAATGAATCCACAGCAGGTAGTCTGTTGACAGCTCCTGCGATCAGTAGGTAATGCAACAGGTGTTCAAGGATCCAGACGCAAGATCCAGTTCCAGCAGAAGGTGAAGGGCCAAAGAAGACTTGACTCTCCCAAGTCTCTCTCTTGTATATAAAAAAGCTTATGACACCAAGGAGATGCCATTTCGCTGTAACACAATTGATAAGTTGAAGTCCACCCTTACCCTTACCCAGGAGTGTCTAGGTGACATTATCCTTAACCTTAACTTTAACTTTATCCTTAACTTGACCAAAAGCAGTATAAGACCAGCAATGATAGTTTATTCTCAGAGAGAAGCGCTAACGTGAGCAGGGATGTATATTTATTCAGACTATTTTCCAGATACCATTCCTAGAAGTTGTAAAACTCAGGTTTAGGTGCCGCCGCCCCCAAAACATGTATTCACACCAGGAAGTTGTAAGTGTTTACCATGTTTCAGATCTCCCTTCCTTCCTCTTCTGTGCATCTCTTTTGCTCCATCCCCCCACCCCCAAAACAAAACTAAACAAAAAACCAATCTCCTACTTTAGTGAATCATGCGGTTATATTAGACCCATGTGGATAAGCCAAGGTAGTCTGTTATATTGAGGTCTATAGCTTGAATTATACCTTCAATGACCCACAGGTAGCAGATATTATGCCGTGGCTGTTGGTGAGCTCACTCCCCACACTGTTTAGCCCTGTAACATAAGCTCCACTGCTTTCCCAAGGATTTGGGATGCTGGAATATATATGTGGCAGATGTTGCTCCAAATTAACCTGAACTCGTCTTCTTAATCCCCTGTCTCTTTTTATCCATTTCCCTCTAGGGAAGTATCCATCACAGCAAGCCAATAACGGTTATGACCAGATCTGGCTGCTGAACACGCACAGAAAGGACTATCATAAGCTTCAGGCCACCTAGGAACAAAAATACTTGCATCAGGAACTGCAAGTCGATAGAAAGATGTCACCAAACCAACTCAGAAGACCTTTGAAAGTGAGGGTCTGATAGCTTATCAAACACCATAACCCCACCCTAAGGAATATTCAAGACCATTCCTGTGACATAGGTTACATATTCATCATTACCTCAAATTACTTCCCGGTGTATGTGTCCGGATGCTGGAATATATATATACATATATATATATATCAAACCCCTCTCCACCAAAAAAAAACTGCACCCCCCCCAAAAAATAAAACCTCTTATATCTGTGTGAGTTTGTCTCACCTACCCTTGTCCCAGCTAGTTCTTTGGTCAATGAACCCAACTAAATCCTTCCCCTTTCCCTTTTATCCAGTCACTGCCTTGGTTTCAGAGCCGACAGAGAGATTCCTGGTTTGGGAACATTTGGCTGACCATCTTGCCTACCATCGTGAGTGATTTTAGAAAATGCCCAAGGGATGAAAGCCTTTAATGGGTTATGATGTAGTTGTTGTTGGGTGCTAGCAAGTGACTTCCGTCTCACAGCAGCTCAGTAGGACAGAGCTGTCCAATCGTTTCCTACACTGGACCCTTCATGGGAGTGCATCACTGGGCTTTTCTCCTGATCTGATGTAGAAGACATAATTATCAATGAATCTGATGATAAGTGAAGGCAATTGCTCACACTTAAACAAAGAGAGGAAAATATTAAATGGAAGAAAGTAAAGCGTAACAATCAAGAGATGTGGTACAATTTCAAACAGACAATAAACATGCAATTCAGTATCCAAAAAAAAGCTAGAGAGAGTGGGACAGAGAAAATATTTCAAAATATGAAAAACTTCCAAAATTGTGAAAAATATATATATTTAAAAATAGTAAACCAAAGATCGAAGGAACTATAGCAAGAATAATAATTTTAAATACATTTACATGGGCTGATTATACTTAAACTCTTGAAAAGAATCAGAGAAAATCTTGTCAGTAACTAGAAAAATGAGCTGTATTACATAGAGAAGTAAAATGTTAGCATTTTACCTTTCTTTTCATCAGAGTCAAAAAGCCAAAAGATACTGTGGTGACATCTCCCAAAAGCAGGCACTTTGTGAAGAAAGCAGAAGAAAAACAACTCTCTGGTCTGTACCCGCCAGATGGCGTTTTAAAATCAAGATGAAATAAAGACTGAGGATCAAGAGAATATCCAGCAGCTCCATTCGAGATGTTAGAGGAAAACTGCAAGATAGTAGTAATTTGATACCTGTACAAGATTGAAGAATTCTGCCCTCCTGCACCTCAATTCATGCTCACAGGGAACCGCAGAAGGTGAACTTATTTCAACTCAGGGTCTTTGCAAATGTCATTAGTCCAGTAAGCATGAAAGTAGGGTGGACCTTGAATCTACTTATAGGGGCATTTATAAGTCAAAGGTGAGAAGAAGGGTAAGATAGGTACAAGAAGGTGGGTTATGAGACTTTAGGCAGAGGTTGGAGCGATGTGATTACCCACCAGAGAACAGAAGGGATTGCTGGAAGTCGCCAGAAGCTGGGTTAAGGTATCCGAAATCAAAGCCCAAACTAATTCTCAAACGCACCGCCATTGAGTATGTTCCTATCCATAGTGAGTCTAAGGGATCATGCAGAATTGTTCCGCAGAGTTCCTGAGACTGTAAATCTTTACAGGAACCGAGAGCTTCATCTTTCTTGAGCAGAGTGGTTGGTGCATTTTAAGATGTACAGAGAAGTGCGTGATAACTGGGTCATGAGCATTTGGTAGGCACACCACCATGTTTCTTGGGTAAGCAGATTAGAAGATGACATGACCTGAGAGCAGATACTTGTTTCTGTCTCGATATTTATTATTATAGTAATGGTCACATAGAGTATTTGTCCTTTTGTGATTGACTAATTTTGTATGCTAATTTGTTTCATGTTAATTTGTTATGACCAACTAAATGCAATACTGGACAGAGACAGACCTACCGAAAGACAGAGAAATCACTAAAATTTCCTATACAAAAACAGTCATTATAAGATATTTTCCCTCTTGACTAACTGAACATATCTCTCAGCTTCTCACCTGGCAGTGGGTGAAATATAGTGCCTAGAGTCCCCAGGAGGTTCAGTTCTACCTCTTCTGTCTCGACATGGGTGGATGAGATCCAGGCCCCAGTGAGGTCCAAATGGCCTTGGGCCGTTGTTCACACTTGCTCTTTCCCAGCATTTCCATGCCGGAGCCCGTGGTTGTTGTGCAGGGTCTCATGAGGAGGGAAGGCTGGCTTAACTCATCAAAAACTGTTTGTTTAGTGCCTTTAAAATAAACCTAAATTTATCTTCTCTACTAGGTTTAATTCATACATTTTGTAAGTATCTTCATGAGAGGTCATAACACTCGTAAAAATATGCACATAATAACAGAGTATAAATATAAATTCTAGTTTATGCACATAATTAAAACATGGCAGTGAAAAGGAATTAAACACTGATGTATACATCATCATGTTCAAATCTCAAAAACATAAATTCATGTGAGAAAATTTAAGTCAAAAGAAGAATATCTACAAACCTCTTGCCTGATGAACATTTAGAAAAAGGAAAAGTAAACACCCTGTACTTAAAAGCAAAGGTGCGTGAGAAGCTAGAGTGAATGGTAAAATAAAAATTAATTATAAATTCAGGTAATAATCACCTCAGAGTCTGGGAAGACTCTACACAGATAACTCAAAGAAAAGCCTGTCTTTGAAACAAAATGATATACTAGAGAGAACACTGCGTGACCATACACCATCCTCACCAAAGGTCTGAAACATGGTTTGAAATCTTTGGTACAGTCACCAAGTTAAGACATGTCCCAGAGCGCCTTGCTCCTCTTGGCCTACCTCCACTTTACCAAGCAGGATGTCTTCCTTCAGGGCCTGGTCCCTCCAGAAAACACACATTCTTGTTTTTCTGACAGTTCACGATCTTTCAATATTCTATGCCAACACCGCGATTACAATGCATTGATTAGTCCCTGGTCTTTATTATTCATGGTCTGGTTTTCAGAAGCAAATGAGGTGATTAAAAATACAACGCTTGAGTAAGGCACTTCTCTCAACTTAAAGTAGAATCCTTGTGTCTGAGCACTTCGAAGAGGCCTTCTGCAGCAGATGTTCCGGAATGCAGTATGCTCATTGCCTTCCTGACTGCTTCTTTTATGAAAGTTGATTGTGGACCCAAGTAAGATGATATCCTTGACAACGTCAATCTGTTCTGCAGTTATCATGTGATTTTTTTAGCTTAGTTTTGAGGAGGTTTTTTTGTAATCCAAGTATAGTCTTTGCTTTCATCAGTAAATGCTTCAAGCCCTCCTTGCTTTCCCACAGCAAGACTGAGACATCTGTGTAAGTATGGTGGTTAGTGAATCTTCCTCCAACCCTGAAACTGCATGTTTCATAAGGTTGGCCCAGTCAATTTTAGCAATACACATATTGAATAAGTATGCTGAAAGAGCACAACCCTGAAACACACCTTTCCTCATTTTCAGCCATGCAGCAACCCTTTGGTCTGTTTTTAATGACTATCTCTTGTTCTATGTACAGGTACCTCATGAGAAGAACTAAGTGTTCTGGAATCCCTACTCTTCAAATTGTTCCATGTTTTGTTCAGAACCAACCAATCAAATCTGTTTATGATATGAAACCGTTCCTTATATAATTTTATGACATAATATATTTGAAAGTAAACCACACACACACTCCAGAGGAGGTTTCAAAAAGATTATGAGAAAATTCTATTTTCCACTGACCTTTTAGACATTTCTGTGTATATGTGCATGTATATATGTGTGTGTATCTTTGTGCAAAATATTTTTGCTTATAATGCCTATAATTCCACAAGTAAAAATGTGTTTATAAATATTTTTCCTTAACATACAAATGTTGGAGAGGAGGAAGCTATTTTATTTTTTTCCTGAGTGAGTAAATGTAGCTTTCTATTTTTCAAAAATGGCTCCCCTGGAATACTGGAAAGATACTAAGTCATCTTCAGACTGCCTGTGTGTGAGTTCGGGTGGACTAGAGAGACAAGGATCCCTGGACACTCCATGTGTTGAAGAGAGAGCTTTACATACAAGAGCAGCTGAATATTGAGGACGCATCCCAGCCCAAGCCAGTCCAAGCCTATAAATCCGATATTAGCCCATATGTGCAATACCTATCTATACAGTCCTCCTCAGACTCATGAAATGCATGCCATGATGCTGAATGCAGGATGATCACAGGCAAGTAGGTTCAGAGTCTTTGGATCCAGTGGCGTTGTAAGTATCTCAGCTCTGGCAGGGGTCTCCATGTGGCGACTCTAGTTCCAGGGTACGGGGTCTATCAGTGTAGTGTCATGTGTCTTATCAGTAGAGAGTCTTCAAGGGAGTGAGCCGAGAGAGAGAAGTTCCCAGAATCCTCGGGAGAAGGCCATGCCCACACAGAGGCCTCATTGGCTATGACCTGATTGACAGACTAGACTCCACCCTTTCACTCTTAACGCTCTCAAGTCCCAAACTGACACCAGATTATGTAACTACCACAACCAGGAAGTCAAACCCTGCCTAATATTTGTGTTGTAACATCATCCAAATATATTGTAGAATATTAGAAACTTTGGACAATTCCTTAAGTAAAAAAATATATATATTGGTAAATCTATTCCCAAACTTTTTTTGTAATAAAGTAGTCATCATCTGTAGCATGCTGCCTACCTGGAAAGATTTCCCTTTGCTTTGGCATTTGTGCTGTGAGTGTAGACACATCCCTGTTTCTGGCAGCCACAGCGGCAGGAGAGACTTGCCATCAGGGGCGGTCACGACTGATGTGCGTCTGCATTATTAACCTACCATCCCACCTCTTAATTCATTTTGTCTGTGTAAGGTTCAGTAAGTAAACAAATTGTTGTAAGTCAGTCAAATATAAAAGCCAAAAAGCCCATTTCCATAGCTGCCAGTTTGATATATCAGAAGTTTAATTGCTAAAATTCTGTGAGGGACCAATTTTTAAAAATAATTTGCCCACTATAAATGAGTGGGTGGATTGAAGTGGCACTTTGGTCGGTATTAAAATTCTTCTATGACTTTATTTTTCCTTCCTCCAATAAATCCTGAGTAGAAACCTTCCAAAATCATTGCATACTATTCAGTAATTGCTTAGAACTTCATGTGCATACAACAGACACCTGATTAGTTCAATTACCCATTGTTAGGTGTTTAAATGATTTTAAATGATCATTTTCTATTTTAAATTAATATTATTTTTAATAATATTTTATTCCATGTGGTTGTTTCTTATTATTTTATTATAAATGTTCAAGGCAACATTTTTCATTTGATGTTAATATGTGAATTTAATACATAGATTGTTATTAAAACATTGTAGTTGAAACATAAAATGTTTTGAAGAAATAGCATCATTTTAATTAATATCATTGTACAATTTTTATGAACATAGAAAATATAATATACAAGAATCACTTACCAGAATCTTCTCTTAGTAGATAATGGACCATATAGAATTGCAAAGATAAACCTGGTAACTCTTTCATCGTCTGTGAAGAGCTGTGCCCTACTAACTAACAGTAATGGTACCCTTTAAGAAGTACATTTCATGTAAATATCCTAACAAATAAAGACTTGTTTTAGAAACACAGCTATAAAATGTTGTCAACTGTAAGATTAAGATATTTACATTCAAAATATAATTCTATCTATGGAACGCTTCATTAATATTTAAAAAGTTCACATTATATTTTGTATGTATTGTCCTATCCTTTCAGGTATAGCTATAAGTAAACGTGCTATGGATTCTGATGTGTGTATTAAAAGAACAGACTTAAAGTGATATTCTTGGAAGAGACTTATGAAAACAAGTTATTCCCCTTTATGGCACGGCAAACTATATAAAAGATAGTAATAAACAATACTTTGTCAGCTCCTTCCAAGTGACAACATTAAACATAAAACCCTACACGACATGGAAAACAAACCAAAACAATGCTCTTTGGTGTCTTCATATGGAGCGATTGTCACACACAGGTGGGGGTCACAGAAAAATGCTATCATTCCCAAACTTACAATTTAAGTCAAGCAAACAGATCGTGATATTCATGTTTAAAGTGTCACATATGTTTGAAGGAGAAAGAATATATTGTATTAAAAAAAGTTTCTGGATCAGGTTGAAGATTTATTAGTTATCCTCCAAAGGCCAATTCAATTTGTCAAAGCTCAATAGCATTGCCATTTCCCAGAGAATCTTGGGTTTTAAATTCAGGCCAATGTTGCATCTAACCTTGGAGGGAAAATACAATTTATAGTTTTGCTGGAAGGCCCATGTCTTAAAGGGATTCAAATCAGTTAAATGATTCATTCTGATATTTCCCTGGAGGTATTAAAAGAGGACAGCTACTAGTATGTGTAACAGCGTAATGAAATTATATGAGCCAAAGAGAGTTTCATAGAACACATTAGATTTGATACTTATTAAATTTGTGGCTTAAGTAAGAAGTGTGTTGATATGACTTACTTAGGTAACTGCTAAAGCGGCTGTTTAAACTTACTTACTTTCTCAAGTTTACAGGACAATCACCATTCTAAGAGTATCTTAAAAGCAAACAAAGGGGCATGTGGGAGATCAAAGAAATCTGAAGGGGCTCCTATTTACCAAGTACAAATCTTTCTTTGCTTTTATGAAAAAATGTTGTAGATTAAAATG